TTCACTTCAGTTGGCTTAGGGGAAAACATCAGCACCATGTAATCATGCTTCCAAATAAGAAAAGAAATGTGCTCTGTACACCAGAAGTTTTCTGGTTGTTCCATCTCCTGCACAGCTTCTGCTCGTTCTTCATGTGACTGGGAAAGGTTTGCTTTCTGGACGTGGTCAATGTCCTGTAACCAAACTCATGCCTTTTCTTTCCAGTGAGAGGAGCCATATTTTAATTAATCTAATGGAAGCTTTGACTAGCAGGCAGGTCTCTGAAAAAGAGTTAATGTGCCGGAAAACACTTCACACGAGCACAAAACTCTTCAGTGACTAATGTGCTGAACGGTACTTTTTCTAAGAAAATTATCCCAGTGAAAGCTTTATGGAGTGCATTTGTTTTTTTTTTTTTTATTTTGCCTTTCGTAATCCAGCCTCATGTTTAGAAATTGAAGTAGATTCGCCTAAGGACCGTTTGAAAATAGAATTTTATTGTATTTTTACTACAAGTTTTGCAGATGCCCATCAGCATCATATCATGGCAGACAAAAATATTCTGCTCCTTGGAGAAATAAAACCCAGGGCACTGTGATCACCGGCGTGATGAATGCAGGTGCTGAAGTTCGGCTGTTGCACTGTTGCTGTTCAACAAACATCTGAAGGCAGAGTCCAGTTATATAATTAACTCTTGAAGAATCAATAGGAAATGAGGATGCTAATGTTTCCACAAAGTCTGCATATTCAAGCTCTACAGCCCGAGAAACAAAGAGAAGTAATAAGAAATTCATTTGTTTTATCTTTTATCTTTTTAAGCAGCCACGCATTTATCTTCCTAAACAGATTTGCCAGACCTTTTTTGAATTGCAAAGTTTTGCTGTGGATGCTTGTTATGGGGATTTGCATAAGGATTAGCAGTGTTGGGGAAGTGGTATCTCCTAACCCTTTCTATTTACTTGTGCTATCGGTCACTGGGGTAACAGTTCTTGAAGCAATCGGTGCTTTTATTTCAGTAGATAATGCAGCTTGTTTTCGTGGCAGAGTGTCTAATGCTCCAAAAGTCTAGTTCAACAAAAATTACAAATGCATTTGCTCAGGGGATTTTTCTTCCTCATTAAGACCTTTCTGTACTTGCTGACGTATGGGCTAAAGAATGAAAAGTTACAGAACTTCAGTGGAAAATCAGAGCTGGCATAGTGTAGAAAATAAGCTATGTTCCCCAACCAAACATGTGTGAGAGAAGTTTGTGGTCAAACCAAGACCATGTCTTAGATCAGAACTCGGCACCGTGAAACCAGAGCTCACAGAGACCTGAATACCTCAGAAAAGTTAAGTTGATTGAGGTAAAAAAGTCTCTATGTGCTTTTTTCCACTCTACTTTTCCTTCCTGTACAGCAAAATATTGCTCGAAATATCCCAGTGTGCAGCGGGCTCATTTTCACTTTTCAGAGAAGACTGATTGGAGGGCATTGTTGCAGTGTGTTGTGTGCATGGCACTAAAGCAAACTCATTGTGCTTGTATGTTTATTTCATCTTTAGTTCTTTTCACGTGCCCTGTTCCAACACTGATATATTACAAAGCAAAAAATATCGGGGAGCAGGCATTATTTTCACAGAATCATTGGCATTTTGCACTTTCGGTCTCAAACGTTTGGTTTAAGATCACATATCCAAAAGGATTTTTTTTGTCTGCTTTGCTTCTTGCCTTCTCTCAGTATGTTTGGGATTCATCTGCACGATGTCCAGCATTATCTACTAGGAATGTTGGTGTTAACGAACTAACAGGTGCTCATTTTCTGCTGAGCTCAGTAATGAGGTGTTCTGCATTGTTCGGGGTTTTTTTTGGCCACATCATCATTGCTAAGATAAAATATGCTTTTTTATATTTATTTATAGAAAGAAAACTTTTATACTACTGATAGTGGAATGATCCAAACCCAGGGGTCTTGCAAGTAGGTCATTAAGTGCTCGGGAGGAAGCATCATGCTTCCCAGTGCTGCTGGTTTTACTGGCAGGAATTGTCTTGTCCTCTAAAATCTTGCCTTTAAAATCAAAGGACTGTGATAAGCAGAAAAAAAAAATAATGAAGAAGGCATTTTATTTCATCACAAAGAAAATAATTTTATCTAAGAGTAACATAGTTTGAATCAGTAATAACATTCTATTGATTTTTTTTTTGAGCAATAAAGTGTCTGAAAATAACATCTTTCTGTCATTGGACGACATAGATTTTGAAGTCAATAACAGAGCAGGGATTGCTTAAATTGGAAAATACAGGAACAACTGTGGCAATGCTTTTTCATTGCCATTTGCTTGTTGGTCTGTTATTAACAAACCAGAAGACGTTGATAGAGCAGCAGTAGTTACTGCGCTATAACACGTGGCAGTGACAGCTGCCGGCAGCATTTCAGCACATGGTACTTAACGCTGTGCCAGGTTGTGCACATTTGTTACGTCCACCAGCGTGCTGCTGTGGGGTGTCCCAGAACCAGGCAAGTTTTCCTGCTCCCTTCCCTTCCCTGGGACGGCCCATCTAGCAGGGAAATGGCCAAATTCACTGGGTGAACGCAGTGGGTATCAATGGCCGTTGTCAAACGTCAGCTGGTTTATGTACTCTCTGGTTATGTTTCAAGGTAGCTGGCACAGGTACCATAAAAGTCACCTACCTCTCACCCTGTGCCTTTTTTGGGCATTTTGAAGCAAGACGAATGGAGTGTGGGTTGCATTGCCTACCTAAAATATAACTCGCATGTCATGGGTTCGCTTTTTTTAGTTTGCTTTTTTTCCCCACATATCACTGTAATAATTACATTAGCAGAGAGCTTTCTGTGAACTTAATGTTCTTCTGGCCCTGGTTATTCTCAGGCCATCAACTTTTCCTAGCTGGTCATCAATCCCAAAGAAACGCTTTGTGACTCCATTACTATTGCTTAAGTAGATGACATTTCTGGTGCAACCACTGCCTCCTGGCCAGCTAATATTACAGCAGTAGGTTTTTTTTCCCCTTGCTTTCAATATTGTTGAGGCATTAGAAACAGCTGGTATGAGAATGTTGTGGCTGTTGGCTGTGAATTCCTCTGACGGTTTTAGGTGTGAGATTTGTAGATCTGTGCAGAAAGACTCTGAGGTGAACGTCAGCGATTGGCCCGGAGCGGGTACAGCTGCTCGGCCCCCACACATCACTGAAGAATTAGTTGGGTAATACTTGCATGTTTCAGGCAGCAGACTTTTTTCCAAAGGGAACCATTTTCTAGCAAGCTACAGGACAGATGTTGTGGGAGTATTAATGTGTATCACCTAGCAGATGATGACATTTCCCTCCCTGCCCCACTGATGGTTGCCCTTGTTTCCTCACTGGTGATGGATCCTCTGGCAGACATTTAAAATAAGTACTTGTAGCTCAGTAGGCCAGAAATCAGCAGAGATTGTTGTAGGTGAAAATGTCTTGCAGCGTGGGTATTCGAACCCATGTGAGTTAACATTGGTGCTGACTACATTTCCTTTAACCTCATTAGCACTTCATCTTGCTTTCCCAAGCATGATGGTGGAGAAGCTAGTTCACCTTAAAGCTTTTTGCTAGGTAATTCATCAAAGTGCCAGAAAAAAGCTTAAAGGAAAATACATGTAAATACTGAATTAGGAACCTTCAGTACAAGAGCACAAACATTGCTACTCATATCATTAGCTCTGGAGTGCAGTCCAAACACATGAGAGAAAAAGGACTTTTCTTTTTGGGGGAGATGAAGACACGAAGTTTGCTGCTTCTGTCATTGCACAAATTGTATAGTTTAGTTATTTTTTTGTTTTAATTTAACAAGCAGTTATTCGTTAGCCATTCTTGCAGAAAACAAATTCAGACAGCAACCACTTCTTGCTACCTTCAGAATCTCAAACTGGGGGGCAACCACAGTTCAGTTTATTGTGTTTTATTTTGGGAGTGTTTTTTGGCCTCTTTTGGGGAAGACCAGCATGCCAGTGTCAGGATAGCAGCTCCGCCTGCCTCCTCCTCCCCGTGTAGGATATGCCAGATACAGATCTATGGTCTGTAATGTAGTGTTGCTGATCTTAGATGCTGCAATATACAGAAGGGTACACCCTCCCTCAAACAGGCCTCCCAGTTTGCTGTATTGTTGTTGGAAATCAGCACTTTGGGGATGGTCTTTAGCCCTTTGCCCCTTTCCAGTTGTCAGACTGAGCAGCAGATGAGCATACATACGCCTATTGTTTATATACGTGTTGGTGACAAATGTCAGTAGAATGATTTGCAAAGCATTTTCATTTTCCTGAAAGCTTGTTTTATTCTCCCAACTCTATCAGGTCAGGCACTGCCTGAACAGGCACCGCCTATTTCATTTTATTGTGTAACTTTCGAGCATGACCTGACAAGCTAGAAAAAGTTCAGTGCTCTAACTTGCTGTCATGTAAGAGATATGCAGACATTAATGAGCAGCTCTGACTGTTGAGCCACAGTGGAGGCATGAGAGACTGCCGTGGTCGTGGCACTGACTTGGAAATGGCGTGGAAGGATTCGACCAAGATATAATTCTCTTCCCTGTGCAAAATGTCCTGACCCCAAGGTTGAAAAGCTATTCACGCTTGTGCTTATGGAGACTTAAAAAATGATTAGTTCCTGCAGAAATTGGAAGAAGGGGAATCAGAAATATTCCAATTAGAACTCCTTTATAACAAGTGGAAGAAGAACAACGCTGTGCAGCTGTGAATGATATAGAAGCTGTTGTGATTACTGAATATGAAGATTATTAAGCCACAGTGGGAAGGAGGATTTAAACAGTAGATTCAACTCCATGGAGGAATTTTAAGGGCTACACATGATCTTCTCCGTCTATTAAAGGTATAGGTAATATATCCCCAGTTATTTGGGAAGAATGCTGAGAGAGATTTGTGCAAAACTCTGAGTTTTTTTTCTGTAAAATATGCAATGTATATGTAAAACATGAGTTATACCTAGTGCATGGGGAGGTGTTCACAGTTGATCTTGAAATATTTGTCTTTTGCAGCCTTTAAAAATGCACTGCAAGAGCTGTGCATTGGTAACCAGTTCTGGACACCTTCTGGGAAGTAAACAAGGTGACAGAATCGACGAGACGGAGTGTGTAATACGAATGAATGATGCACCTACTCGAGGTTATGGACAGGATGTTGGGAACAAAACAAGCCTTCGAGTCATTGCACACTCCAGTATTCAGAGGATTTTGCGAAATCGCAACGAACTCTTAAATATGAGCCACGGTGCTGTGTTCATCTTCTGGGGTCCTAGCAGCTACATGAGGAGAGATGGTAAAGGCTTGGTGTACAACAACCTGCAGCTGATGAATCAGATACTGCCTCAATTAAAAGCATACATGATTTCTCGCCACAAGATGCTTCAATTTGATGACCTTTTTAAACGGGAAACTGGGAAAGACAGGTGAGAAAATTTATGGGCATACATTTGGGGAAGTCATACAGTAGTAAAATAATGTAGTTTATATGTACCAATTTGAGGTCTGCTCAGAGGGACCATCACACCCATTAAATCCTCTGCTGCATGAGTTGTGGTATGGTATAATACGCCAAATAACATCACTTGCAATGTAAGTAAAAAGTATGCCTCTAAATAATCTGTATGGAGTATTGCCTCATCAATTTAGAATGCCAGCATCTGGCTGTACTGTTTACATAGCCAAGGAGGTAGGAGCTGTTTAAATCTCACTTTTGAGGTTATATACCCAAAAGTTTTTTACTGATTCTGAAAAATCAGGATGGATAGGTTATGTTTGCTTACAGAGGAAATGCTACCATTCTCTGAATTATAATAGCTGTTTATTGAATTTAAGCATTCTTGGAACACTGCAGCTGTAAAGCTTCTTGTAAAACAAACAAACATTAGTCATACATTAGGTGCTTCAGAAGCGTTCACCTTACAGCTCCAACTGGGAAAAGGAAAGTTATGATAGTTACATCTTTATGAGACTGTTTATGACTTGTAGGCTGATCTTCAAATCAAAATTTTAATCGGTGACCCACTGCAGGACTCGAGCATTTTCACATATAATGTTTGAAAAATGGGCATTTAAGCCAAAGACTTCCTAGAGAGAAATACATTTATTTTTAATGAACTCGGATTTTTTATATATTAAATATGTAGCTGTAAAAAATTGAATAGGGTCTCTACTGAGGTTCAAATGAAGAGGTGGCTTCCATTGCACAATAACTCATGGTGAAATTCTTTAATTTTACAAATACTGTACATATGCTGGGCTTGGTCCTATGCGGACAGAGAAGACTTGAGAACCAGATTTGTCTTTTGGGCAGAGCCAGCAGCATGGAAATTCCTGTATCCCAGTAGCTGGTGGTGACTGCATCTTAGCTTGGTGTCTGTGGTACCCCATCTGCTTTTCTTTCAGAGTTCAGTTACCGTGGAGCAAACTAAGCATCACACTACTTGACTGATTCACATTAACACCAGGCCATCTTGATTCCCAAAATATTCTCAAGGAGTCTGAGACATTAATAACATTATAACAAGTTCATAGTGTACTCGGTCACAGAAACTCTGAACTCCCAGCATGAATCAGTGGCATGTGGATCCCAGCAGAATGCAGCCTCATTCATGTACAGGTCCTGTTGCATTGAGGCAGCTGCAGGCTTTGCAGGAACCACTGCTTAGTAGGGCACATGCAGCACACATGAAGGACTAAAAGATTAAAAAGGGAGGTGAAAATAAATGAATAGGCAGGATGGAAAAAAGAGGAAAGATGAAAAGAAACACAGCTAGGCATTGTAAGGGAAGAACAGTTATGTAGCTGTGGGAGCAGAAGCAGTGCATTGTACAGCCCGGAATGATGCCATTCCCCGGGAGGTTTCTGCTGAGCTCTCGACATCAGTCCCTGCAAAAAGAAACAAAGGAGAGAGAAGTGTGACTGCGAGGTTGCAGTAATCAAACCATTCCTTTCTGTCTTGAAAATGATGAGGAAAAAGGTAATTGGATGCATTGTGATTTACAAAAAAAAGCTGATTCTGAAATGAAGGGGAACCTTCAGAAAACGCTGTCAGTTAAATAGTATGGTGAATGACAAAGGCTACAGAGCAGTATCCTTGGTATTATAAAGTAACTGTACTTGAAAATAACTTTATAATTGAATAAGGGTACATTAAGAAAATATGATTCAGAACCAATATTACAGTAATTAGATAAAGGAAGCATAAATGAAATAACTGCAGGAAGAGAATTTCCATAGAGATTATAAATGAGATTTTGGTGGAGCAGAAAGGCCTTTAATTGTAATTTAGTGTGCACTACAGAATTATCAGCACAGTGTGTTAGTTCATAGTATAAAAGAATATCTGATAATTTTCCCTAATAAGCACATGACAGTTCTTCATATTCTTTCATTACAGCTGATTAGGTATAAAAACAGGATTCTTTTGTTAGAGTTTTGTTCAGATCTTTTATGAAAAGGCAAAACGTTGTAACCCTGTTTCTACACTGCTGTCCTACAGACATGGTATTTAAAGAGGCCAAAGCAGTACTTGAATAAGTTTTTAAATCTTTGTTCCATTGTTTGGTGCTTAAGCTTGTTTATTCAAAATCAGTTCTTCTCTGATTTACTGAAAACACTGCATTGCAAACTAAGTCTGTGTAAGCAAAAAGGAAAGTAACCCAGCAGACAGCCTGCTCGGTTTCCTGACATGTACTAAGACCATGACCTGGGTTCTGCACAATTGGTCTCTTGGTTTTGGATGCAAGGTCTTAGGCATGGACCACTCTAAGCCTAAATTACCTCGTGAGTCAGCAGGAAAGCAGTTGTTGGGACTTTTTCCTATCCTTCCTTTCCCTAATAATTCTAAGCCAGAAATTATTTGCTGTTTTCTTGCTATAGTTTCACTATTCGTTGAGGAAACAGGAGACCTCAGTACCAGGCATTCCTCAGTCTGACAGCGTTCAGGACTTCTGTCTTACTGTCCTGCAGATAACCTACTTGGAGCCAACACAGCACTCACTGGGGAAGCTGTATAGCGTGCCCCTGTCTGCTGAATTCCTGTATTAGTGATGACAGCACTTGCTTATAGTGGCTGTTGTAGTTTTGACCCCCTTCTTCCAGGATTGGTGCCTGACTTGGTCTTGCATGGCTGTCCTAAATATACAGTTACAGCTTTAAGACTTGCTTCTCACCAGCATGTCTTGTTCCTCTTGTTCCAAGACAGCCAGCTCTTCCCAGGCAAAGGCATAGTGCGTGAGCTTGACACAGAACTGGGACTTCCAGCCCATGTGCCAGGCAACCAGTGACCATTACAGTTAGTTGCCAGCTCTTAACCACAAAACAGCAGTGACAAACAAGTGCTAGAATGAGAAAACATTACTGTTGCCATTTTGTAGGTAAGAGTCTGTGACAGAGCACAATTTAAGCACAGGTTTTAAATCTCTTCAATTTGTGAGGTTACAGGATGATATCTACTAATTCTGCATAAATAATGCTGGATCAGTTGTGCTTCTTTGAGAACTTCTGCAGAAAAAGGCCAGGAAAGGAGCAGCCATGCAGGGTGCCCTTGCAGGACTCATAGGTCATATTCAAAGGTGCCACCAGGCAGGAAAGGGATTTAGAGCAAGCAGAGGGTTGGGGTTTACGGGAAAGCTTTCCAGGTGGCTGCACCTAACCAAGCTTCCTACCAGCAGTCACAGGGCATAGCTGAGAGCTTCTAGATTTGTGGATCAAGGTGTGAAGGCAGACGATGAGACAAGTACTTGGTCTCATCTCTTTCTCTACCAGACAGGCTCCTCTGTATGCTGTTGGTTGCATTTTAAATAGCCCTCTTCCCTGTGATGTGTCGTCTTGATTATTTAGTTACAAGTTCCATTAAGTGATTACAGATGGGTGCTATTTATCCAGCTCATTACTAGCAGGAGTATGTATGTACAGGACATGAAGTTTCACTCACTTAAGGTAAACTTTACAAAAGGTCAGCTAATGTTAACTCTGCTGTATCCAAAATTAATTACAGACAGAGTATTTCTGCACAGATTAGTTGACTGACAGAAGACATTAGTAAAACTTGTTAAAAGATGAATGAGCAAAGTCATCTTGGTTGCTCAATTTTCATAACCTCTCATAAAAATGAAAAAAAAAATCATAACCTTTCTTAGAAATGAAAAAAACTCCCAGGAATTGTTTCAGATATTTTAAGAATTATTTGTCAAACTAGAAACTTAATTATGTTTTTGCTTTCAGGAAGATATCCAACACTTGGCTTAGCACGGGCTGGTTCACAATGACTATCGCATTGGAGCTGTGTGACAGGATAAATGTTTATGGCATGGTGCCACCGGATTTCTGCAGGTAGGATTTATTTTGGAACCATTATTAGCCAACAAGGTTGAACATCACAGATAAATATCTGAATCTTGAATTTTCTCTCTGAAATGTCTTCCATCCTCTTAAAGCAATTAATTAACATGTCCCAAGATCTGTTTCTGAAAGCAACAAACAGCATTTAATTATGTCGTATAAAATATTAAAAATTTTTGTTTGTAGTGTGGGAGAATTAATCTATGTTGTTGGTTTCTTTTAGTCCCTGAATATTTATCAGCTAAAAGTAAAGCAGTAATTGGCATGAAATTAATCTGAAAAAGAGCACTAGAAAATATTACTTTGAATTTGTTTTTAAAGGTTGCCCCCACAATTAATAGAGAAAAGCAGTTCTTACAGTGACTAGCTTCTAAATTAACTTCCTATGCAAATAAAGTTAAGATTGTAGTATTGCTGTCACATAAATACCAATCTTCCAGTAAACTGGTTTCCTAAATAAGCCCCACCAAAAACTCCACAGAATTTGGATCTGCAGACTAGATACATTTGGTCCTCTATTCACTCACTTTGGTCCTGCAGAGTGTGGGTACACATGGTAGAAAGAGCAGACACATTCTCTCAGTGGAAGCTGTGTGACATATTGATGTTGGTTTATAAAGTAACAGCTTGTGTCATTTCACAACTCTGTGATGCCCCAGCACTGTACAGGCCTCAGACCTGAGGTGTTGGTGAGGGTTTCCTGTGGTGGACCCAAGGTACTGGGAAACTGACTTCAAGACTTGGTAGTTGTGGTATAAACTCATGCAAATGCTTTTTACATCAATGGTCTTTTTATGCAGTTAAATATCATCTGTCTGCCATAACCAGACCTAGCACTCAGGCCTTCTGAAATGTGTGCTTAACATGTGCACACCTAGTTGTGATCCATTTGCACTGTCAGGTGATCCAGTAATGCACAGAGCTGGTATGCACAGTATGAAATGTTTCATCCCCTGCTCCTGAATTCCTCTCAGCAAGAGCAGCTGAAGTGATCTGACTGAAGTCTGGTTCCTTGGCTAATACAAGATACATTTCAGGGGCATGGGGAGCAACGCTGCAGCGACAGGTTAGCCCATCTGTCATAGAGAATACGACTGCTTTGACTTTCTTATGAGCACTAAAAAGGATCATTCAAAAATCTGCATTTATCCTGGGCACAAAACAGTAAAAATCCCTGAAGAAATTATAGTATAAAATGTCAACATTAAATCCCACTTTGTGAGAATTTTTACAAATTATAACAAAGCCCCACTGATAAATGCTGTGATGTACTGCCAGATTTCATCATGAATTCTCCAAGGAAAACAACAAACTAGATCAGATATTTCAGGCAAGATAAATACCTTTGCTAGCACAGTGTTTCGTTCCCTTGTCACTTCAGTTGGCAAAGACACATTTCTTCAGTTCCTGTTCTGAAATGGTTATGTCCCTGTCATCACTGTAAGTGGCTGGTCTGTCTTTCTCATCTAAAAATCCAGTGGAGATGGACAAGCTTCGGGGTCCTGATGGGCAAGAAGCTGGACATGAGCCAGCAGTGGGCTCCTGCAGCCCAGAAGGCCAGCTGTATCCTGGGCTGCATCAACAGGGCTGGCAGCAGGGAGAGAGAAGGGACTGTCCCCCTCTGCTCTGCCCTTGTTAGGCCCCATCTGGAGCACCGTGTCCAGGCCTGGGGCCCCCACAGGAGGGAAGCAAACTGTTGGAGCGGGTCCAGAGGAGGCCCCAAAGATACTCAGAGGCCTGGAGCATCTCTCTTGTGAAGAAAGGTTGAGGGAGATGGGCTTCTTCAGCCCAGAGAAGAGGAGGCTACAGGGAGACCTCGTTGTGGCCTTCCAGTGTTCGAAGGGAGCTTACAAACAGGTGAGGGATGGACTTTTTACACTGTCTGATAGTGATAGAACAAGAGCGAATGGCATAAACTAAAAGAAGGAGGATTTAGGTCAGATGGTAGAAAGAAAATCTTTACTCAGGGGGCAGTGAGGCCCTGGCACAGCTAATCCCTGAGCTGTGGGTGCCCCATCCCTGGAGGTGCTGAAGGCTGGGCTGGGTGAGGCCCAAGGCAGCCTGAGCTGGTGGGGGGGCAGCCAGATTGTGGCAGCAGGTTGGAACTGGATGGTCTTTAATGTCTCTTCCAACCTAAGTCATTCTGTGATTATGTGAAATGCAGAAGATAACAATGCTCAATCCTAATTTTTTAGGCCGGGTTCCTTATTAAAGTCAGATAAACCTAGGTACATATATTTACAAAAAAAAAAAAAAAAAAGCAACCCCCCCCAAAACAGCAAAAAACATACAAAAATATTGAGAGGGTAAAATGGTAACTGAGACCATATGAAAGGCTTTCACAGAAATGATACACTGGAATCAAATGGATGTAATATTAAATTATAACACAAAAAAAAATGCTGTAATAAATCCTGCTGTCAGTAAATGTAATAATGCTTACAGCTTGCATAACAAAGATGCACTTACCTGGCCATAGAAGAGGAAGAAGGTCATTTCTTAACCAAAATAATATAAAATGTCTTAAGGCTTATTTAACAAACTATGAAGGGGAAAACTATAGTTCCATTCCTAGGAGAAGCTAGCCATTAAGATCTGTGAAATGCATCAGCTGCCATGAATGAAGTCAAACTTACTTTGCTCTTCAGCCACTCATTAGTTTAAACAGTGCATCCTTTCAGAGAAATAAGCAAAATAGAAAATGATAAAGAAAGAAATGTTCTGTGAACAAATGTAATTTAAGGCAGATTTCTCTGGTTTCCAGTCAGACAAACAACAAAACTACCATTTCACAAAACTAAGAGAAACCAACACAACCCACCCTACCTCTCATGTATGCATGAGAAGGTATAGGTACAAGAGTATTTTACTTGCTGTGTAACTAAGGAATCATTAAGATTTAAATATATAGATATATTAATATTCTTAATACTATTCAAATGGAATATCACCAAATGTAGAACTCCAGCAAATATTCATTATTTGTTAAGTATTAATCTGTGGAGGAAGTAATGAGTGTGGGTGATCACTGTCATGGAACTGAATTAGTATCATATCCGTAACATGAAGGACACCTCAAAGGTATCATGAACATTATACAGTTGATTCTGCTACAAATTATTAGCTTAAGATCATTAACCAAATTGCTTGCAACCCATGCAGGAGGAAAAATAGTCCAGTGAAGTAGTCTGCACTACCGAATAAAAAGATTTGCGACTATTTAATAGCCACAACATGTTTTAGATTCATTTCTGTTTACTTTCACTGGACATTGATTTGATAGTTTAACTGGAATTGGCAACCTGATTATTATAAATTTCTGGTAGCACAAAGCAAAGCTATATATAATACCAAATGCCTTTTGCTTGGCTTCAGATTTCTGCTGTGCTAAGGGTTAAGGGCTTTGATATTGCTTTCACGCTGTTAGATATGTCTGTCTTGCACATTCTGGAATAAGATGAAAGCCTGTGCTTGCATGCACGTTACGAAGCTTTTTGGAGAGAGTGTGCATCTCTCCCTCTTCTGTCACAAAACAAGTCATCTTGCTGTCCTCGTTAGTGTCCAGGGATCCAGTCTGAGCCTAGCCGAGCAGGAAGGAAGCACTGCCCTCTCTGAGCAGCCTTAAGCAGTCTGCCACATGCACACGCAGGGACTTACTGCTGCCTGCGATGGATATCAAGGATTTTCCTCTTGTTTCCCTACACCAGCAGCCAGATTGCAGAGCACAGATAGCACCACAACTCCTGCAGAAGCTGCAGTGCTGCTGCTTTTCTTTGTTGCTGCTCAGCAGCATCTGCAGAGGACAGAGACAAAGCTTAATGCAGTTTGTCTTAACACCAGTTCCTGTCTGTTGGATTCCCTGCAGCAGTGAAAGGTTGGTTTTTACAGGTATCTCTGTGTTCTCACACATGCAAGGAAAATTCAAGGTGTTGAAGAGATCCCTTTAACTTCCCCCTTCTTCTTTCTCTCCCTTCCCCCCTCCATGGGCCTTCTGGAACTCAAAGAAACTTAGAGCTTAATTCTGAGCCTTATTTTAACTGATATGAATAATTTTTGCTCCAATTATGGAGTCAGATCATCTTCCTATGAAGAATCCTCATTTGACTGCCAGGCCATTTCCCATCTGTGATAATTTGCCTGAAAATTGGCATTTGAAATCCTTTAATTTATTCCTTTGGGCACTGCTTTTAAATCTAGAGTTCTTTTTTTTTTTTTTTTTTTTTTTTTTTTTTTACCTCCTCTCTCCACTTTCAATTGCTTTAAATCAACTGCAAAGAAGCAGTTGTTGCTGCTTACATTTGCTGGGGTGCACGGAGGACTTGATGCACGTAGATGATTATGTAAACTGTATGGGAGATAACTGTGCCCTTTAGTTCCTTATACCCAAATCTCACTTCATTACCTTACTAACTTAATAACAAAATGCTTTGATGGTTTGGAAAACTGGGCTAGAATGCATGCCAAGGAAATGAGCTCCTGGGAATAGAAGGCAACAAAATTATCCAAAAAACTTAAAGGGGCCTGGCGCAGCATGTTGCCCATCACTCAACATTTTAATTATGTTTTATTCACCCTTCAAGTATGAATTGTTTGACAAAGCAAGTCAAGCACCTGTAGTTTCAGTGGGTTGCTTTATAACAGCCCTGTTTGTAAAGGGAGAGGTTGACCAGAACATGGGATGGGGTGGCCATGTTCTTCTGTCTCGTTTCTTTTGAGACAAACACTGCTTGCAGTATTTTCAGCTTTTGCTGTGGGTGGATACCATCTGTGGGAAAATGTGCATTGAAGTGGCAAACAGTAGATGACTGACATTGGGTACAAGCACTTACGCTGTTGCTGCGCTGGCAGGCGATTAGGCAGGAAGTAGAGTATATTTTACAAAGGATCTTCTCTAGATTCCTCCCAGCTGTGATATTAATATGCATGCGAAGCCTGACAAAATACTGATTAATGTCCAGTATCAGTCAGTGATAAAACAGCATCTGTTTTAATGTTAATAAATGAGGTGGCAAGCAATTTCCGCATAGAAATTACTCATGCATTTCATTTGCTGGTGACACAAGCTAATTGCAGACTTAGAAGATAACAGTACAGTTAATTTCAGTTATGCTGTAGTTGCTCAGGCCAGAATTCCAATCCAAACCTTAACAGCATGATATCTGGGGGAATCCAGAACTGCCACAAAAGGAAAAAGACTTCAGACAAAAAGTGGTAGGTATCGAACTGCCTTTCAGTGTTCCTAAACCTAAAACGCATTTGGACTTCTAAGCCTCAGAATGTCAAAAGAAAACAAGGCAGGAGGATGCTAACCAGATCTGCTATCAGCACAGCAGCCTGATTGGCTCATGGTGCAGTACTGGGCCTGAGCAGTTAACTTAGTTCCTCTGTGACTGCGTTTATTCAAAGACTGCTGGAGATAAGATTTCAACTTTACTAATTATAATTTTAAAGCAGTAAATTTCCATCACGCAACATAGGTTTACCCTCGAGAACACAAGAGTAAAATCCATCTAGAGTGAAGAAAAGAAGTAAATGAGAGGCAGGTGTCTGTGCGTTTAGAAGTTATAAGAAAATGTAAAAGTGTTTTCTATTATATTTACAGTAATCATACAAATGATTCATTTTAGAGATTGTAATAAAAAGTCCAATGTCTTAAAAAAGTATATGAAAACATAATTGAAGATTGAGATCCAATAGTTGTACCTAGAAAAAATGTATAGGAAAGGGTATGTTTTACATTAAAAACACACCTTCTGTAGGCGAGAAATTAAAAGATTTCTTTTTACTCTCTTATGTATTCCAGTGAGAATACGTACAGAACATTTAGAATCCATCTTGTTCTGGAAACGCAGTATTATTGTTATTCTGGTGTGGTAAGATTGATCACCCTGTTGTGTTACTGGGGAGCTAGACTGATTGAATTAAAATGTTAATTTACAGTACAAATGGAAAGCAGCAGTGATATCATACATTACCTCTGCGTATACAATATGGATAATGGTAAAATAAGAAGAATTAGAGAATTGCGTAGGTGACAGAATTACATAGTAAAAATAATGACCGAGACAGAATAGTGACAGATTGTGGATGCATTCAATTGAATTTGAGCTTAAATATTAGCTCTTCAAAATGAAAATAATCAACTCAATATTAGAGCTGACAGCCCTGAATCTGTGTGAGATTTCTTGCTCTGTCATGCAATCCTTACTCTGCTCAGGTTTTCATATAGAGCAGTTCCAAGGCTTTACTAAATGGCAGTATTTAAATCAATCAACTTTCTGCTACTTTTTCTGCCACTACAAAATAGTTTGTTGGTATTAACTGTGGAGCACTGTACAATTGGGTTATTCTGTCTAGGACAGTTATCTCTCCTTGAATTCAGGACAGAGACAGCTGTACAAGCTCTTGTTAGTCTGTGCTCAAAGCAAAAACATAATGGGTATAGTTTAATGTAGAGAATAAAAGGAGAGTGAACCACTATAGCTTATTACATTACAAACACAATACACGTGTCTCTTACAAAATGCAACATCAAAACATTGACGTTAAAACTGTGTAAATGATCTCTATCCTAAATATTTAATGAGTCTTTGGCACATCCTGTGTGACACCAGTAACTGCTGGTTAATGCTGATGGGCTCACAAGGTCAGTGTGAGTGGCCTGAATTTTCAGCATACATACATACGTGAAAGTTGCCATTTTAAAATAGCAAACAACTCACTCATGCATTAGATCTTCGATATAGAGCCAGCACCAGCGGGCTGTATCGCTGACCTGGCGTGCAGACGTGCTCACTGAAGTTGTGCACTCACACCCATGTGCACCAAGCTGGGAGTGTTCAGCTGAGCTGCTGTGACACAGATAACCACTGCCCCTCTGTCTTTCTTTTCCCTTTCTTTCCCTATTCCAGTAAATACCTCTGCAAAGCTTTTTACAAATCACTATCTAGATATAAATCTCTTAAGCAGTTTGCTTCAAATTTCAGAGTAGTAGCACAGCCCTGCAGCGCTCTCCCTTATTTCTGAGCTACTGCTGTCCTTTATTTAACCGAGAGGAGGAGATTAAAGGAAGGAGCAAAGAAAAAACCTTTGCCACATTCTGATGTGTTAAATATTCAGGGAAAATGCAGATACCTGAAAATGCAGTTTAACTGGGAGTAAAAGTAGATTTGAGCCCATCAGCTTATTAAAGATAGCATCTTTTCAATCAGTAAAATAGAACATCTAGGGCTTCCATCTGTTTTTTTTTTTTCCCACAGGGATCCTAATCATCTTTCAGTACCTTATCATTATTACGAACCTCTGGGACCTGATGAATGCACAATGTACATTTCTCACGAGCGGGGACGAAAGGGCAGCCATCATCGTTTCATCACAGAGAAACGAGTGTTTGAGAACTGGGCGAGGACATTCAATATTCACTTCTTCCAACCAGACTGGAAACCAGAACCACTTACTGTAAATCACCCCGAGATTAAAGCAGCGGTCTGAAGGATGAATGCATAAGACTGCAACCACAATCACCGACTGCATCAGCCATCAGGGTGTTGGACCTTTTGGGACAGCAAGGCAACTGACAGCAAAAGGGTAACAGGATTTGCAGCTGATAACTGCAGCAAGTCAGGGAGTTCCGATGAAGGAGTGTATCGAGAGTACTTTCTTTTGAACTGTGTGTTAATCCAGTATATTGCCTTTTTGGCCATCTGACTTCCTGTACGTGTGTGTGATTTGTGAAAAGCAACTTGGTATCATTAACGGGATGGGTAATTCATTATGGTTTTTTAAAGTACAACACCACGGAATTTTCATAGTGAAAACTGACAGTATTTATTTAATGGAGGTTTTTATGCAACCTAGGCCAGTATTTTTCTAGTTCACAGTTCTGTGGTTGTTGATCTTTCATAATCTTTCAAATCCAAAATTAATATTGCTGATGGTTTGAAAGGCCTAGCTTTTTATTTATAAAATTCGTTTGAAAAATATGATTCTATATAGCATGTAATTAATATTTGATCTGGAAATGTTTCATTTCTTTTAAAAATTTTGGGCTCCATTCCAGCCTAAAGCCTTTAACAGCAAGAATGGTCCCATGTGCAGATCTAGCTAACTTTACATTCTGGCATCTCATGTTAATATGAAAACGGTAGTGGAAATTCTGTTTGATATTAATGTGAATTTGCTGCTGTGCTATCAAACTGCTCTATTTTAATCCAGAGGTGGGGAAGGAAGGCAGAGTTCATCCCAAAGAAATCAGTTTACAGCACCATGTCCTCACCACAGAAGAGTCCAACTACAGCTGAGGGGTTGTGTTTTGCTTTGCCTGTTGTGGTCCTGCAGGAGGCTGAAGGAGCAGCTTTCCTGAGGCAACAATCTGCAGAACAAGCAACAACAGTTTGTAACAACGGCTTTCAACAACACAACCAAATTTCTAAAACCAGGAAGCTGTGCTACAGTGTACTACAGTACCAGCCACAAAGATGGTAATGTTGCACCTGTATAATCCATGCCTTCCACTGTTCCAAGACCACCACTGACCTCAGAGATCCTGGACTGCACCGAAGCTGGGATGCAGAAAGGTTTCCATGAAATTGTCTCCCTGAGAGCAGCAAAGTTACACCTGGCAGTATCTGTGTGACGTACGCAAGCCTGGCAAACACAAGGAGTTGACGATGCTAGTTCTGCATGTGGAAGCTCACACTGTGTCTTACTGGGTTACACTTGGCTTGTGAATAAAGAAAATTTCATTTATGCTATTATTTCTCCTTTTGCCTCACAAATACAAAATCTCTAACTTCTCCTGTTGATTATTTTAAAGAAATTATTGCATGAAACACACTGACAAAGGTGTCTCTCATTGGCCAAATAGTAAAGCTAGAACAAAGGTACTGAAGCCTCTAAACCCAATGAGCTCAACTCTCAGAGCTCAGTCAATGGAATTGGAACCAAACTCAGTGCCATTTAAACTCAGTTAAGACATATTATGACTTCCTCTACCCAAAATGTCATAGCTGCAGCTGCCCAACGGATGCCCTAGTTCTCTAAGGACAAATTGCAGTAAAGCACCTTGTCAGAGGTAGAACAGTGTTACCCCGTAATGATGCGTAGACGTAAGAGAACCACTCTCCTTCATAGAATGACAAGGTTGGAAGGGACCTCAAGGATCATCAAGCTCCAATCCCCTGCCACAGGCAGGGCCACCAACCTCCTCATTTAATACCAGACCAGGCTGCCCAGGGCCCCATCCAGTCTGGCCTTGAACGCCCAGGGATGGGGCACCCACAGCCTCTCTGGGCAGCCTGTTCCAGCACCTCACCACTCTCTGTAAAGAACTTTCCCCTGACATCCAACCTAAATCTTCCCTCCTTCAACTTAAAACTATTTCCCCTTGTCCTGCAGTTATCAATCCTTTCAAAGAGTTGATTCCCCTCCTGTCTGTAGGCTCCCTGTAGGTACTGAAAGGCTGCAGTGAGGTCACCCCGCAGCCTTCCTTTCTCCAGGCTGAACAAGCCCAGCTCCCTCAGCCTGTCTTCGTAAGTGAATTGCTTCAGACCTCTGACCATCTTTGTGGCCCTTCTCTGGACCCTCTCCAACAGCTCCCTTCCTTGCTGCAGCACTCCCCACTATCACAAGGTAAGAAATAAAGTACAACCTATTTTGCCTTGGAACTTTTCTTTTAGTGCTTTTCCTGGTATACATCATTCACCACACAAAATTAATACAAATCTCTGCTTCTGCCAATTACTTGTAACCCATCTCTCACCAGCTGATCTCTAACTCTCCCTCATTCAGTGATTATGTTTTATCCCTTCCACTTCATTTCACAAAATTCTACGAAGAACAGAATGGGTTTTGAACTGATAGTAATTTGCACATCCCTTTCAGCATGTGTACTGGGGCATGTATCCAACATGTATTACTTGAGTTGATGAACTCCGTCAAATTGATTTACAGATCATTTCTAATATGACTGCAAGAGATGGTGCAGATCACAGTAGGTACTGCGATGACACAACCCTTATGTTATTTTATTAGTGATATAATAAAAAGATCTTATCATAAAGTAAGCTTTTAGTTCTCCTATTAACTGAGGGCTGCAGGACCTACATTCTAAATGTTTAGATTGTGATGTTTCTGTTAAAAATAGATTATTTTAAAATAGATTACAGTGATCTACTTACAGTATTCAGCAGGACTTGCAGGACTTGCAAGACTGCGCTGTGCTCCATGTGCATGTCTCTGCCTGAAAGACTGGTCAGTACAGATTAGATCAGGTGAGCTATTAAGAATCTGAAGAAGAAAAGCAGGAGAAACTGATATTAGATCGCCTGACTTTCAACAGAGTAAAACTAACGGTTGTAAATATTCCTTCTTCAGTTTCTGTAAATAGTTATTATCAGTACATTTCCAGTCTTTTTAAAGGACAAAAAACCCCAAACTCAGTCTCATCAGCTTCCTCTGACAGTTCAGCATTCACCAGATTATGGAAAGTATGAAGGTGTATTTTCTAAGTCACGCCCACATGGATAAAACAACTTACTGTAAAAGGAATTTGATGAAGCCAAGAAGGCAGCAATTTTTTTTAAAAAAATTGATCACACAGACTTATAGGGAACGTAAATCCAGTCCAAAATGTGTAAGTTGTTATAGGATGGCAAATAAATAGGTAAACTTTTTAAAATGCTGCAATTTTAATTATACAGAAATACATGAGTAATTTGTAAAAAGCAATATATTGAACTGTAGCATATCCTGCTACTTTTTAGCTTTATCACTATGCCATAAAACCTTACTTAAACAGATTCATGATTAAAAAAATGTTGCCAGGCCAAGGGTAAGTAGTGCAACCAGAAGCTGCTGCCCTTCTCTAGTTTACACTGTCATCTTACACTCATCACTATAATTTGACTGATTCATGATCTTCATTATGCATCATTTTACATATTAAAAATTATTGTAAAACAGTGTTTACACACTGTAGAGCAGTTCTAAGAGCTGTGTTACTTTATCTCTGAACTTTCAGCATGCCATAGCTTTTTATGCTGGGTTTAATCTGAGCAGCTGTTTTTCGTCTCATAGAACCATAGCTGTTATGCCATACCATGGACAGCTGGAATTGAGATCAGTTGCTGAAGAAACTAAGAACGGGAAAAAAATTACCATTGGTTTCTGTTATTTTGGCACAAGAGATGCCAGATGCCCAGCTAACAGCATCATGCTACAAAATAAACAGCCTTCCATTCAGAGCCTTAATGGGTGTCAAAGAGTGTCAAGTTTTCTGAAGCAAGTAGACAAGAACTGGGTGATGAGTCCACCTGGAGCTCCACAACTGGTTTTGCAAGGCTGCACTTCAAGGGGTTGCAAAGAAACTGTGGTACTACAGCACAGAGATCTTCACCCAAGGATCCCATCTGAACACAGGAAACAAAAGTTAAGAGAATACATCCTCCGATTTCCCATGAAGATAAGGTTACAAGCAGAATTCTATAGGAAAATGTCACAATATATTCGTCCTGCTTTTCTGAACTGTTTCCTTGACATCTATCGTAGGTCACTCCTCAACACAGTACATAGGGGCAAGACTCTATCTAAATTTAAAGAAAAAACACAGAAGTTCTGTACAGGACGAACATTAACTCATATGCTAAAGCTCAGTCACAGTCTTGCCATGCTCACGACGCAGAGCAGTGGCACACGCCAGGCAGCCATAAGATCCAACAGTAACTGCATGTTCATTTTACTGAAAGCAATGTCAAAGCATCTAGCTCAAATAGAGAGCAAGACTGGACCCTACTTAACAGTCAAGGAAAGCTATCTTAATCATTTCTCATTTCTCAGAGCAGATTTATCTCCTTTAGGAGATGCACAGTGATATTTAAGTCTGTCAGCTTCTTTACACAACCAAGACAGCCATTAAGATAACATCAGTGGCTTTTAGGACACAAAATACTTCCTAAAGCACAGAGAAGATAAAGGGAATAATGCATATTTAGCAGGATATAAGGTGTTAGGAATTTGCTGACTTCGCTTTGGCCATCAGATCAAGCTAGAGCTATTAGTTATAATCCAAACACACAACATGATCCAAATCACTACGTGAGTCTAAGGGAAGAGCTTTGGTTAGGTTTCCGTGGGGATGTGTTTCCTTCATTCCATCTCTGCCCTAATCAAGTGCATACAATGCCAAAACCAGAAGATGTGACCACTATTCAGTGTGTTGTTCATCTGTGTAGGACAAAACTGGAATATTTCCCACTGCAGCTTTTTTTTCTTTAATATAGCTATACATCTCTAGACAAGGAGTATATGATACACTAAAAGGCTTCCCCTGGTCACTTAGTTGCAAATCCTGTTGCAGACAAGAAGCAGCTACACAGAAATAAGCAGTAAAAGCAAGTGCAGAAGATGGGGACAAGTGTGAAAGAGGCTATGCAGAAGAGCTGAACAAAATACTAACATACATTGTCACAATATACTGATGATTCTGCTCATTGCTCCTCTTGCATTATAAAGACCACGGGAATCTAAAATCATTACAATTTGAGCCACAGTATTTTGAGCTACACCTGGACAGGCAGAACAGCACAAAAATAGTAAGCAACTAACAAAAAGCAAACAGCAATACCTAATACTTAGTGGTGGTGTTCTTCACTGGTAAATATCAAAGCATTTGACAAAGGAAGGAAGTATCAGCATATTAGAATGAAAGGTGAAGAAAGCACGGGGTCTAAACTTTAAATGCCCACTACACGCAAAACCAGTGGAACAAATAAACATGTAAGGTATGGCAGCGTTATTCCAGCATGCCATTTTGCAGGTAAGGAAAGAAATACATTTCCTAGTTCAAATTAGTTGATTTTGACATAGGAGCAAGCGTGACATGCCACAAACCTCCCCAACAAAATACATCCCAGCAGCTGTGTCACCAAAGAAATGATTCACTGAGCAGTGTGAAAAAAAACCTTAAAAGAACAAGTATCTATGCTAGAGCTTTGCCAGCACTGCTCTTACTCTGCAGAGACAGCCTGTTTCTGGTAGTGCTTATTTTGTTGAAGGGACTCCTGCAAACAATGCTACCAAAATAACTTGTGTTGATACAATCCACGCCTCTAGTAAGCCTGTTGGCCAGAGCAGCAAAAATGACATGCCTGTACTGACAAGTGCACTGTCTGTATATACAAAATAAGCAACAAAAACAATATTCTAAAATTTGCATGGATAGGGAAACACAGCAGAACTAAACATTAAGAGCTGTATGTGTTTATAAACTTTGAACTGAAACCTTAAACGCTATCAATTTAATCATCAAATAAGGCAGAAATCCTCATTAAGGAGAAAAAGTGACTTATTTAAAATAACTTGCAAGTGAAATCAGTGCTATGAAATGCTGATTTCAGAGCACATTACACAGCATATTCAAGTTTTCATCATAAAACCTCAATACTTTCAAGACATGTTTCCCTACAGCATGTTATTTTTAGAAGTTAATGGAAAGAGATAACGCAGAGAGAACAGTGGAGTACACAGCAGAAGATATCTTCCAAAAGAAACATTTCTCCTTTTTATTTTTTAAAATAAAAAATTGCTTTTCAACACCTAAAAAATACAAAAACTCCATTATGCTCATTATTGTAAAGAAGTGCTGAAGTTACGGTTGATGAGACACTTTCATTATGTACACTATTTTCTGTAGTTCATAACTTTATGGTTCTATTAGTCTCTTGGGTGAGATATTTTATGCTTGTCTTCAGTCCAGAGGCGAATTCATCCAGAAAGCATAATTCTCCCAGGTCACAAAGAGCTCTCTGACAGACAGAGTTGGTAGACCCATACACAGGTAGACTGAGTTTTCTGATGCTCCCAAGCTTTGTCCCCAAATTGTCCTATATACAACACCTTCCTGTCCCTATCACCATGCAGGTCCTCTCTACTCATGATAAATTCATAGTTGACTCTGGTCCTTGCTTTTCCACACACCACTGGGTTAGTGTTATGTACAACTCAGCCCTGCTTTAGCACATACCAATGCCCATCTGAAGGGCATTAGGCCATGAGATTTGTTCACTTCCAGTTCATGTTTCTATTCCATTCCACAGAGAATGGAAATCCCTGACTGCTGAACAAAATGGATTCAATCTCATTTCTCATTGCACTCATTTGCTTTCCTATAATCAATAATGGAGACCATTTTTTAGTGAAGGTGGAGGGACAGACCACTCTCTAGAAGAGTTACACTCTATATACTCTATGCTATACTATTGTAAAAATACTTCTGATGACTGTTACCTTTGCTTATGCCAGGATGACAGCATTTCTTGGTGATGTTCAGATAAAAAATAAAAATATTTGGCTGGTTGAGATGAATTAAATACCAACTGTGTCATCACTTCTCAGACTTCCTTCTCCACTGACTTGTGAGGGAATCTTACTTTTCAGTCTATTACAGAAGCATGGTTTAAATTCTGCATTTATGTAAACGTTTGGACATGGTCATACGAAACTGCTCTCAAATGCATACAATACTTAAAAGACAATTTAAAAATGAAAGGAAGTGCAGAGTCATAGGAGAATGCATATATGAGTATAAGACTAGTTAACTTACCATTTCTTCAGTTGAGTACAGTTTCAATACATGATTCTGAAAGAGAGCTGAAATACTGAAATAATTATTTTTATGAGCCACCAGTGTTGTAAACAACATCTACAAAACCCACTGCAGACAGATCAGTCCAGTTACACAGTGAAAGATGCAGGCATACACATACAAAGTATTGCAAGCATGAGTGTGTTTGGTTCACAGACCTACCTATACAGACTCAAAATACCAAAATTAATTCTGCTCTGTAAGTTTCTATGCAAGGAAACATAAAGGAGCTGTCAACTTGCCTATTTTCTCAATTCCATTACAGAGATCATCTGTGCACAACGCAGAAAGCATCTGCACTGCACAAGCATATTTTCTGGCCTGTAAAACACAAATGGTATATAAGAATGTCCTCATTTGTTCCTGGAGTCCAGATCCCAAGTGAGTTTGAAGGGCTGTCAGCGAAAAAGATTACCAACTTGAAAGAAATAAATATATACTTGCACAAACACATTTACAGACAATAAGGAGGTATTTCTAGAGTTGTTTTCAGGCTAAAAAACTCAAAGAATAAAAGACATTGTATAAAAAATAATGCGTCACACATGTAGTACAGGCAACTTTATGGTGATTCTGAGAAACATGTATTTCAACCCCTTACTTTGTGCTTATAAAAACATTAGAAAAGCCCACAGTGTAGTTTGTCGCATTTTAGTATAATTGTTGTTCTCACTTCAGTTTAATCACCTTCATGGGCACATTTACCGAGTGCTTCTATTTCTAAATTGCATTTTAATAACCTACCTAATTGCCTCCTTTTCCCTAAGCAGGTAAGCTTTAAAAAGACAGAAACTTTGGTATCTTCTGCTTCTTGCTGAGCTCTGCTGACATCTCTACCCACCATTTCCTGCAAAAGATGGCAGAAAAAGAATTCAGCAAGGGCTGAAGGCTCCCAGTAAGTCTAATTCAAACTGAAGCAAGGCAGAAAGCTCTATCAATTTCACTTTAGCCATTTTTTAATATGTGACAAAGCCAGCCCATAAAATAAATATTTGATTAAAAATATTCATTACAATAGAAAAAGAGGATCAAAGGCTGGATTAAAAAAGGGAATGCAAGCAAATCCTCTAAGAACAAATTCTGCAGGATTCATTTTTCTACAGTATCTACACATTTCTACGTCTCTGTATTTCTGCAGCAGTCTACAACAGATCTCAGTAGGTTGTTGTATGAGAATGTATAGCTTTTTGCATTTTAAGAGAAGTCACCCTGACATCATGTTTTGAATATGAACCTACTGATTGTGAAAGATCCTACCCCCAAAAACAAAAAAAACACCAAACCAGTACATCACAAAGACATCCATTCCTCCTGCTTCACAGAGCTTCTCACCTCCACCTTCTCTGAAGAAGCGAACAAAGCTTTCATCTTTCAGATTAAGCTGCTTCAGTTATATAAAAACTTCTCAGTGGCAAAGTGGGAAGAAATCACTAATATTTTCCACAGAAGAACAGTTTATAAAATTATAAGGACACTGGTGTTTTCAATACAGCTTACTTGCTGTTCTTGGAGCTCAGCAAATGCTGATAGCAATTCCTGCTGTTCAGCAAAAAATACCACAAGGTTCTAAGTACCACAACTTTATTGTGAGGTCAAGGTGTAGCAAGCAAGTATTCACCTCCTGAAAATGGCTCTTTTGGTACTTTTATCCTCTCCAAGCCTAGAAGATACAGGGAGAAAAAGGGTTTTTACACTCAGGAGATGAGCTACACTTCTGTTGCTTACTGCTCTCCAGCATCCAACCCAAGAAACAGCTGAACCTCAGTGGCTGCCCTCTCTGTATCCTTTCCAGTCACTGCATACACACAGGTCTCTGACAAGTCTGCTACCTCTTACATGAGGTTATGATGCCACAGCCATACTGAAAGAGAAGGAGAGCAAAAAACAATAAAAATGTGTAAGAACTCAGATTTGTATGTTCTATGCAACAGGAAAATGCTCAACACCCTATTCTAAGATAACACTATTGGCTTTGATATAGTGTGTTTACAGATAACACCTAGGAACTTTAAACCACGTATGCATCAGCTTTATTATGATTAGGGGAGAGAACAGATTTCAAATGCATACTGCAAGAGCATCACCTACTTGGTACTTACTGTTTTTATACATGCAGAAATTTGCTCTTCTCTTTATTAGTATCTGTGTATTACCCGGCCAAAACACAGTTAGCATGCATTCATCATTACATGTCCAAGAAGAACAAATCAATATGCCTGAACGGAATTTACAAAACCTAAATTATGAATCTCATCTTCCAAGCGCTCAGAAATTACTGAATACAAGAATACCATTTATAACATTTTTCATCCTGATCTTAGAGTCAGTTTTGCTTTATGCAAAAATCCAGTGCACTGAAAACCCCAAAACGTCCAAATCCAGGTCACATGGAATAAAAAGATGACATCTATGACATGCTCTTGGTGGACACGGTGTTCTCACAGTTTCACTCTTTTTGGCATTTCTTTTAAGTAGATTCAGTGAGGTAATCATATTTTTGTTTTACTTGTACCAGCTCAGAATCCTAAATCCAAACTCGCCTAGGGTACAAGGACTGACCTAAGGGTTGTATTTAACAGAGCAGGAAAAAATATATATTTTTCTAGATTATTACCTCAGAAAGTCTGCTAAGATGTCTAGGTTCACCTTCTTTTTTTAAATTTAACCAGAAAGAGAAGATGGTCAAAAAGAAAGCATAGAAAAAAAAAAAAAAGAAAAAAAAAAAAAGATTTGTCTAGTATAATAACCATTCGTTAGACTTCAGAAAAAGGGGAGAAGACATGATGTCAAAAGAACACTTAGAAGTGAGATGCCAACTCTGTTTTTCACTACAATCATAATATACATAAAGAGAACTCAGATGACACCAGTGACTCCAAAGTAGCAGTCAATGCAATCATCTTGCTCAAATTCAGAAGATGTGCTTCATGTGTTTGATTCCATATGTCTTGAAGAAAACCATGATAATCAGTGCCCACAGTCCTAGAATAAATCCTCCAGGAGGATGCCAGTCCTTTGGTTTTGGTTTCTGGAAAAAAAAAAAAGAAAAAGAAAGAAAAAAACAAAAAGAGAAACACAATTAGTATTTTCGTCTTCATTTGAAACAGGCACTGTGCTTCATCAACTGAAAAAAAATAAAATCCTGGCTGCAGAGAAAAACACAAGCTGTATTTATTCATGAAGAAGCATCTTCTTGACATGGTGTAAATGTTGATGGGAAGCAAGCTGATGCTCAGGCAAGGAGACAAAGCACCACAGAAAGCCACCAGAACTGTGTCTGAGACACACTTTGATGGTGATACTGATGGTATCAGTGTGGTAGGACACGTCCAAACTCATTTGTTCGGACAGAACTTCTATCTGGTCTCATGTTAATATAAGAGAAGAATGTTGCAAGTATGAAAAACAGTTCCAGGAATTGAAAATATGAGAGAAGAGGTGTTGTTTTTCCATTACCTTGAATGTTTTCTACAGCTCCTTCTGTACACAGTTATTTAAATAAACATACCTAAACACATAAAAAGCTCAGATTCATTATTAAAGGAGTATCATAACACAAAATAGGATTGTTTTTAATGTCAGTCACATTTCCCAGAGGCCTCATTGAGTCTAACTGCTTTTCCCTAATGGAGAAATATATTCTGCAATTCAAATACCTGTCCCTTCAACAATTTTTTCATCTTTGGTAAAAAGCAATACACTGCAGTCTGCTTTTTTCTTTTTTCTATCACACACTTAACAGTAAGGCAAGATAAAACTCGTCTGTCTCCTTCGTCCTCTTCTCATATTTGTGAAAGTTTCAGATATTCCACATACTATGAGAAATGGATTGCAGAAGATAAGAGCTGCTGCATGCCCCAAGATCTGCCTCTCTAAGTCTCAGGTGAATCCATATGAATGCAAAATTTTAGTCAAAAATATCGTGACAAAAGTATCAGAATTATGGTATTTAGAGGTATAATTCAGCCTGTCATGCCTATGTCAACTCTTGCCCTCAGCAGCTATGCTTTACACATCTTCTATGCAGACAGAGATGATTTACAATAATAAATACTGAAGTGAGTGCTGAGTTATTTTACTCTGCCTTGCTGAAAGATTTGCACTATTCCCATCCTTAAACAGAAAGAGGCACAAGGGGCACACAGCGTATTTTGGTTTCATCACCTTTAAGTCAAATTCAAAATCCTCTTCCAGCAATGTGAATAGCTTACAAGAGCTGGTACTGCTTCAATTTCTGCACAAATTTGCTTACAGAAGCTTGCCTTGTCGGTCTCCAGTAAACATACCAGGTGGCTGGTGAACTTGAAGGCAATAAGGAGCATTTTGCAGCATCTGTTCTTTCAAAACATCTCTTCTACCAAGAAGAAAACAACGTTTGTGTATTGCTCAGCTTCCATCTGCTAAGCTCCATAGATGTAACGTTAAGATTTTTGCTTAAGTACCGTGCTTGCACTTAGCAAGTGGCACAAGTGGCCTTGTCTCCTCAGGCACCTGAAGGAGCTGATACCCAGAAATATTCGAGATCTCATTTCCTCTGAAACAGGCATTATAATTTACATTTGTAACAACAAACCTAAGGTTATAAGCAAAGACAACGTACACTGTTTCCTAAGAAGCACTCATCACCTGCAGCAAATGCGCTACCGCTACTCTGCCACCTCACTGCTATTCACAGCCACGCATCCCCACACAGAGATCTCAGGAAATCAACTCTGAATGTTCAAACAGGCTGCCAGCACACCTCACTTCTGCAGGTAACAGCACACGACACTTCTCCACACAGAGGAACTTTCTTGTTTAAATCCTCCTAATTAACCCATAACTTCATATGCATATTGCAGTGCCCGTTTCATCAATCTCTTTGTACTATCAATCTTCCCTTTCTTGGATCTCAGACAAATTCCTTACCACAAAGTGGCACCTGACCCTTCTAGACAAATGACTTCAATTTGCAGTCAGTGACACTAAAAGCCTCTCTCTCCTATTTTGTATAGATCACGTAATTTAATTTCTTTAAAGAATTTATATGAATAAATATTTATAAGGTGATCTATGGGTATGGTTTTACATTCTGTCACACCATGTGCTGAAGGCTGCTCCAGGAAATTCCACAAGGAAACAAAGGCTAGTGCAGTCATGTCTCTACACAGGGACATCAAGGGCATAGAAATAATCAGCTTAAAGCCATGTGATGCAGGGCTAAATCATGAAGGATATGTTACTGTTTAAAACATGAAAGTACCCCAGGAAGCATCTGAAGCTATACAAGAGCTTGGTCATCTTAAAAATAAATTATCTGAACAAAAAAGTTTTTACAGACTGCTAACTGAAGACTGGTAACTGCATGTAAATACTTAACCACAATAAAAGGGCAAAGAAATGCAACTCTGTTGTACATCTGTAAGTCAATAGCGAAGTTAATTGAGCACAAAATTATACTGAAATATGCCAGTGTTTTCCATTGGCAACATGCAGACATCAAAACCTTATGAATACCTGAAAAGGGGTTACACAGATTCATATCTAAACCATTAAAGCATACCTGCAAGAGCTGGAGGAATACCAGTACTGCGGCCATAAGCAATCCCTAGATAAACTGTCACTATGCATGAATTAGAAAGCGTAAGTGAATACAAGGTTTCTTCTAGATTCTTAAATTACAATCATAAATCAATATTTAACATATGAACATGGCCTAATTCAGCATCTTATTCTAGCAAATTTCTCTGAAAGGCAATTTTTGAAAGTCAGGCATTTTCTCACTTGCAATAAAATGCTAAATGGACAAAAAAATATTAAGTGTTTCAGTACTTTAATTTGCAACTAATTATGTACCTTTACTATGCCAAACTGATGTGAGAATGTGTATTACTAGAAGACTGCAGGTTTCACTGCTTCAAATTTCTGCATAACTTTCTCTTATTTGGGACTTCTCTCGAGCAGTGTTGGCTCAGATTATTCTGAATTTCAGTGTAGCAGTACCCACATATGAACTTTACTAAGGACTGCTTATATTAAGCTTTTGTGATTTCTGCTACAATACAACCCCATTATAAACACCCCCTTCCTCCCCACAATAATAGCTGTAACACACAGGTGAAATGCACACAAATGGCACAATGCGTCACGAACAAATACATTCAGCAGCTTAAGGGCCAGTTGTTATTGAATTGCTGGAGATTCCAAATTAAGAAGATAGGTAGCTAAGCAACAGCAAGCTTCCTCCTGTGAACAGTTTTCTGCTGCACTCTCTTTAGTTCTGGTAGACTCATTATTCTGGGAACTTAAGAAACAGTTAACAGAAAGTTGTTCCAAGTACTGTAATTAAGGAGAGGATAAAACAGCGTATTTTCAAACTGGATGGGTCTACAGGGACCATAGTGAAAAGTATCCAAGATTTTCATTGAAAGTGTTTTGTAAAACATACAGTACTTGCTATTGCAATTAAAAATTAGTTTTATTTAAGAAATAAAAAGTATTAAAGCTGAAGTAGTAATTAAATTAAGAATGGTTTAAATTTATAATGTTAGATCAGAACAGAAATAAGATTTAAAACATCACATGGAAAACACTTTGATAAATACCATTATGATTTAACCCTACAGTTCACTTCCAGCAGAACTCAACTTTGTATCAGTGTCCAGTAAAATACTGGTATAGAAAAGTTAAGCTCAGAGTTCATATTTGGATGGCAGCAGTAGATAAAGCAATGCACATGGTACAAACATAGCAGTATAACAGCTAGGAATGCAGTCATTCCCAGACAAGAAAAGGACAGGCCAACGCTTCTGTCTATACCAACAGCTTGTTCTGTATGGGGCTTCAAGAGAGAAAGTGGAGTTTCAAAGTGTCCTAAGCCCAGTTTTGGTCTATTTATTGCAGCACAGGTGATATAAAACACCATCTCGGATCCTGGGGCTTTCTGGCAGGAGCAGCAGCTACTAGGGGAAGCTCTGTGCATCTCTCTCTGTAGATTTCTCCACCTCTATCAGTCTTGGAGGTCAGCAGGCAGTAGCGGGAAATAAATCACGTGTGCTGCTTGCCAGTGCAGTGTCCTGCATCATTATCAGATCATTGGGGTAAATGCTACGTATTTTAGGGTGCAGATTTAAAAGTCATTCTCCATTTGAATGAATATTTCTATTTCTTTCACATTACAATACTAAAATCAAGATACCTAATTTTATGTTATGGGCTGTGTTAAAGACCATTACCGAAATCTGAAGAAAAAAAAAAGAGGTCTTTGAAATCCAAGGCTGACCTCAGACCTATGGCTGAAACAGTTCACCTGCTTCTCAACTCAGGAAAAGTACTGATCTCAGGCCAAAGGATATGGAGGAGCCAAATTCACAGAATCACAGAATGGCCAGGGTTGGAAGGGACCTCAAGGATCATGAATCTCCAACCCCCCTGCCACATGCAGGGCCACCATTTAATGCTAGACCAGGCTGCCCAGGGCCCCATCCAATCTGGCCTTGAACACCTCCAGGGATGGACAGGGCACCCACAGCCTCTCTGGGCAGCCTGTTCCAGCACCTCACCACTGTCTGTAAAGAACTTTCCCCTGACATCCAACCTAAATCTTCCCTCCTTCAACTTAAAACCATTTCCCCTTGTCCTGCAGTTATTAACCCTTTCAAAGAGTTGATTCCCCTCCTCTTTGTAGGCTCCCTGTAGGTACTGAAAGGCTGCACTGAGGTCACCCCGCAGCCTTCCTTTCTCCAGGCTGAACAAGCCCAGCTCCCTCAGCCTGTCTGCATAGGGGAGGTGCTCCAGTCCCCTGATCATCTTCATGGCCTCCTCTGGACCCTGTCCAACAGTTCCCTGTCTTTTTTGTACTGGGGGCTCCAGACTTGGACGCAGTACTCCAGATGGGCCTCACAAGAGCAGAGTAGAGGGAACAATCATCTCCCTGTCCCTGCTGGCCACCCAGCACACCATGTCAGGAGCCCTTTATGTATTTCTCAGAGACGCTCCATACAAATTCAGGTTTACTTGCAATTTAAAATTTCAGACCACATAATCGTT